AATAAATAAATTTAAAAAAATCTTTAAAAAAAAAATAAATAAATAAATAAATAAAAATAAAAGCAGTGTTACTTTTGATAAGACATATTAACAGACTACACAAATAGGGAAGTGATTGCCTGGGATGCCTGGGTGGCTTATTTGGTTAAGCATCTGCCTTTGGCTCGGGTCATGATCCCAGCGTCCTGGGATTGAGTCCCACATTGAGCTCCCTGCTCAGTGGGGAGTCTGCTGCTCCCCCTGCTTGTGCTCTCTCTCCCTCTCCCCCTGGCAAATAAATAAATAAAATATTAAAAAAAAAAAAGGAAATGATTGCCTAATCTTAGCTGTTATCAACTGAAAACTTGAGACTTTGATTTAATTTAAATTAAAAAATATTCCATCTCAAAAGCTTGTGACTCTGACTTACTATTTATTACCTTTTTCTCAAGAAACTTATATTTTATTGTGAACATTGCAATTTGTTTAACCTATTATTATTCACTAGGACAATCTACAATCTGGCAGTTTTGATGCAGGGCTGTTTGTCACAAAGCTAAACTACCAGCAGTTAGGTAGATTCCCTTGTTCAAATGGCTTTATAATTTGCAAAAGAGAAGGCCTTTCTTCATATTTTTCCTCTCTTCCTCCTTCTCATCATCAAAATTTATTGGATAACTCTTAGGTAAACTTTTTAAAATTTAAGAGAAACCAAAATGTATGCAAATTAGTCTGACTTGTAGCCTTAGCTTTGTCACTCAGGGTGTGTGTGTGCACGCTCGCGCTCACGTATGCACACATGCTCACCCTTATGCAAAGCATTTAGTTCTTTAGCCTCATTTTTTGAAGGTGAGAATTTAGACCAAATCATCTCTTAGGTCCCCTTTAACTCTGAAAGTTCTTCTGTGACCTTGGATAAAACAGTTGCTTCTGAGGTAGGAAGATTACAGAGGGAACTAACTGGGGTGCAGATGATTGAAACCAAGGTCAGGCCAAACCCTCTGCGGTGGTGACTTTCCAATCTTGGAAAACAGTTTTCTTTTATGAATACATTGGCTCAAAAATGTTACAATATGGGTATCTTTCAAATTACTTTTTTTTCAAGAGAGATAAATTATACATAAGCCATTTTTAACATAAATTTTTAAAAATAGAATAAAGGAATAAAAATGAAAACCTCTTCCTTGATTCCAGTCTCTCCCACACAATCCCATTCTACCTATTACTTACGTAAGTAGCCCGAGTGTCCATTAAAGTACAAATTCCCCACACCACAGTGAAAGCTACTTATCAAAAACTTGCCTAGCATTTTTACTTCCCTGTCAGATAGTTGTAGTTTGAGCAGCTAATGGAAGAACTTTTATAGTTGAATGCACAGATTACTAATTCAGTAGTTCATTTTAATGGCATCATTTAGAAAGGTGAAATCTGCTAGTGGAGTTTGGTGGATTATGTTAAACTGAAGGCTACTAAGAAGCAGCAAAAGAGCACAGGGAAAAATGTTCCTGTTCTCTATTACAAACAGATTTTAGTGCTGCAGTCTTTTATTCACTTGTACAAAGCTGCAAGCTGAATCATTAAACCAAAGGGAGTAAATAATAGGTTAGTAAACATTGTACTCCCAGTGACAAAGTTTAATTCAGTTTTGAGTGTTTTGGTGTTTTGTTTGGTTGACTTCATGGAGAAGGCTGAAAGAGGAGTTTCAATCTTTAATCATCACTAAAGCAGTCTTGAAGTTTTACTAAAGTATGGACTTTTAAACTCAGATGTTTGTTCTCAAATAACTGAATGCCCACTAATTATGTAGCATTCTATTAAGTGAGAAATATACTATAAGACAGGGAGAATGAGAATTTACATCTATTGATTAATACATTAATTAACAAGCTCCCCTCCCCCATTTGGGTCTACATAGCCTGCTAATTGCTATCTGCTTAGCCTAGTTAGCTCAATAGCTACACAAAGCATCACAGATTTTGAGAAGTAGATGAGATTTATATGTTTTTACTTTGGAAAGTCTTTCTAGAAGGAAATAGGCAGGTAGGTGAACAGGAAAGGACTTTTCCATGAACTTGGCACATTCTGAAAAAAAAAGTCAAGAAGGAGAGACTTATGTACACAGATTTAGAAATTTGTCTGAAATAATAACCTGCTTAGCTAACTTAACTTCCTGATTAATGTCTGGATCAGGATTTTGAAGAAAGGAAGGATGATGAGATTGCCAAAAGGTAAGAGATAATAGAAAAGATACAGAGAAAGAAGTTATGAGGGTAAGGTTAAGCAAGGTTTAATAAACTATTTCTTCCTACTTTCTGACCTTTAATTTTAGAAGCAGTGTTGCTTTAAGGATAGCTACACTACTTACCTCTCATCTTCCTTTACATGTTAGTTTTCTTTAGTATTTTTCCTAGCTAACCAGAATGAGTTGTTAACGGTGTCTTTTGGATGCTATGAGTAGAGTTTTAAACATGCAAATTGACCCATTGGCCCTTTTCATGTGCTCCGCAGCTTTCCTATCTTCCCTTTGATGAAGATTCTCATAAGTCAAGTTATCATATGGGGTACATATGTAAAAAGAACAATCATAAAATAATTTTTCCGTTTACTTTATGATACTAAAAACAAAATAGCTTGGCTAGTATCTCTTCATACTTTCCTATATGGTGGTATTGGCTAACGTGGTTCTCTGGTGTGGGAGAAAACAGATACGCAAACACTGTCCTCTTTAAAACTCGCTTGCTTGTAGTAGGGTGTATCATCTTAATAAATAGATAATTGTTACTCTGAAATACATAAATATGATAATTTTACATTAAAGATCTATATTCCAATTGTAGATTTTAGGAATTCTGAGTTATTTTATAAATTAACATTTTTTTTCTCATTTTCTATTTATGTGACAATTATTAACATACCTGAAAAATTGGCTTTAATAAAATAGTGGTTTTTATTTTTCCCTCTATACTTACTTATATTTACCACAGGTATTGGTTAGATCAGTCAAAAACCACTGATTGCTGTGTGCACACCATTGTATTTAGTGTAGAGAAGTTAACTTTGCCAGTTTAGGGCTTTGTTAAAGTAGGAACTGAATAATTTCAGTTTTAAATTCCGAAGTGGCATGTAGATCTTTCCTCTATTAATAACAGTTCTATTGAGTAAAAGTCTAATATGAATGAAAGTTGGCTTATATCTTAAAGTGAATGAAAGGAATTTGTTGTACTACAGAGGAATCCATTTTGCCTGGCTTTTATAAGTAATTCTAGTGAATTTATACCCTTTCTACCTATCTTAAAGATAGTATTTTGCTCCCTATTTTCTTGTCCTTATTAAATTGCAAAATCTGACAGTACTGTAGCATAAAGAAATACTTTGAACAAAAAACTTGAAGTAGAAATGCAGTTTCATTAGAATATTTGAGGTCAGGCATTGTCTTTTTCCTATTGGAATAACACCTTGCTAACTAGTGCTAGCATGAGACGATAATTATTAGACTTTACAAATTAGCAAGTACGTAAACTAGATAAAGAAAAAATATTTTTACCTCAAAAAATTGTCCTGATTGATTGTTTTTGGCAAGTATGCCCAATTTCAAAAGCTATTTGGGTTTTCTGTTTTTGTTCTATTTTTTTGTTTAATTTTGTTTGTTTGTGGTTCCTGTGCTCCATATGCAGCTTTGTATGTATTTCACAGATAAGGTAATGTTTGAAGCATTTAAAAATTGACAAAAATTTAGCTAATTTGATTTGAACTTGGAATGAAGCCACTGGGTGGAATGGAGGTGTAATAGGGGATGAAAAATTGGGGTGGGTCGGGTGGGAATATATATTTATAAACAATATTCCATGATATTTTTAATGATAATTGCTTTAGGAATTAATATGACTTACTAGGAAAAGAAAAGAAAGAAAAAACACTCCCCACCAAGATAAAAATGCATTTTCTTTTGGAAAGAACCACTTTATTTTCCTCCTTTCTTTTTCTTTTTTCCTTTCCTTTTTTTTCTTTTCTTTTTTTTTTTCTTTTTTTTTTAAAGATATTTGGGCTATAGGGTGTATATTTGCAGAACTACTAACGTCAGAACCAATATTTCACTGTCGACAAGAGGACATCAAAACTAGTAATCCTTATCACCATGACCAGCTGGACAGAATATTCAATGTAATGGGATTTCCTGCAGGTACACATTATGTTTTTGTTTTTGTTTTTAAATCACTGTTGTTTGAACTTAGATATCTTCATGGGAAAGGTGTATATCTTTAGCTGATGAAAGCTACTCTTACTCAATTCTTTATGATTTGCATTAATCAAAGATCCTTAGAAATAGCAAAATTTATAGAGTTCACATATTAGCATAAAGATATTTATGGGTTTTCTGAATTTGAGGAGTATATTTTTGTTTCATTTTATTTTTTTGTTTTGTTTTGTTTAATATTTGAAATGATAAAATATTTGCAATGATAAAATATTTGCAATATCTGAATTAAAAGGTGCCTTTAGTTCTTACCAGGGGAAACTAATAAAATTCAGTAGTATGTATTTTTGTCTGGCAGCACATATAATAATACCATTACTTGGGATTTAAATACAAATTTTGAACATTATATATAGGGCACTGTACAGAATCACATTATATTGAATAATAGAATTTTTTACCCTATAACCCTTGCCAGTAAGAACATTCTTTTAAGTGTTCTATTAGAACAGCAACCTTGCCTACACCGATTGGCAGCAGGGAGAAAGTTGTTTAGGTGTCTCATCACAGGCGTTAGACCCCTCAGTTTTTCAGCAATATCCCCATCCCTTGTTATGCCATAGCATGGTAGTTCATCAGGCACTAAAAACTCTGCCCAGAGGCCTAGAATAATGAAATTTTGCTTTAAAAACCTACATAATACCGGCTAGTCAGGTATTTATTAGAAATTGTTTCTTATTAGGAATTTTTCTCAGGTCAGGGTAACTCAAGACTAATACAGAAATACCTGGGAGTTATAATTTCACATTCCCTTGTAGGAGTGTTAACACAGATACTACCTTTCTGCAGAATTGGTCAACAGGCCCTGTGAAGACTGCTTTTTTTGTGATGAGAATTTTATTTATTCACTAAATATTTGAGTACCTGCCATGTGCCAAGCACTGTGTTATGCATAAAATAATGTTGATATAACAGGCATGATTCTTGCCTCCTTGGAGTTTATATTGTACTACTCTAAGTAGAATGTTTAAATAATAGCTATAGTTTGAGTAGATGGAGAAGAATGGCCTTTTCTTCCCACTTCTGAATGTGTCCACCATTTCTAAGACCCGAGAGAAAGGAACATGGCTTACAAGGGGGTGGAAGAGGGAGGTGGCCTCTGTAGGAAATGATTTTTTAATGTGTAATTCAACAGTTAGGGGAGGCTCAGCTTATAAGGAAGTTGAAAAGCAGGCAGTAGGGTTTAGATTTAATGTGCAAAAGAATGAGAATCCATGATAAGTTCTTGAGAATTAGTGACATGGTTTATGTTATATTTTAGAAAGATTAGTATGGTTGTGGTAGGTAAAAATCAATTAAAGAGAGGTAACTGAAGTCAGGGAAGCCAGCTGTTTCCCTGTATAGCGGTACTCCAGGTGTAAAGTGATCAAAAGAATGGAGAATAAAGGACAAATACAGAATTTTTATATGTAATTGCAGGAAAAGTAAAAGATTATCTCAGGATGCTAGCTTGAGAAACTAACAAAATAGAGAAATTGGAGCAAGGAAATAATTAAGGAGAAAATCCCATGTAGGAGTTTAAAAAAGTATGTATTTAGTTGACTTTACAGTGTGGTATCTTTGGAGGCTAGGTCGCACATATCTGTCTAAGTAAGTTGAAGGCAGATGTCTCAAGGTAGCAGTGAAGCTACCTGTCGTAGTACTGAGGCTAGTAGTCTTTCCGCACAAGGCCGTTGACAGTGATGACGAAAACTAGCCCTCTAGCACGTATTGTTTGAGCAACTCTAAGGCCAGCAAACCACCTGAAACATTTTCTGCCTCATGTAAATAGCTGGGGGTGTTTTCGTTAATGGTGCTGAAACTAGCCAAGCCACCAGCTCACTTATTTGCATACTAGTTATGTCCTACCCTGTTCTATTCCAGACAGTTGTTGCTGCTCACATTGATTGCTGCTGTAAAAACAGTGTATTTAATAAAGTGAACGTAAGGAGGGCCATGTAAAAAAAAAAAAAAAAAGTGCATCTTACAGCTACAGAGGGGAAAGATAACACATTTGTCATTGAAGACACTGGTTGCTGATTTAACCAAGAAATTGGGTGGAAAGGGGGAAAGAGTGGTTTTACAAACAGAAATAGAAATATTTATTAATAACTTATTCCTCTCTACTTACAGAAATTGAGGTAACTTATAGTAAGTTACATAGAAAGTAAGTACTAAAAAGATAAACTAGAGAGCTAATGCTATACAAGGGATGAGAATTCTATTTATAGGTCAAGATAAGATGTTTACTATAGCTAGTCATTTATTTGAGGTCTGTGCTTTTCATGGAGGCTCAAAGTGTATAGGACATGTGATGAAATTGAGGTAACTTTTTTTTAATTCTTGAGAATAGGAACCTAGACAACATAAAATTTTATCAATGTATTTCACAGATAAAGATTGGGAAGATATAAAAAAGATGCCTGAACATTCAACATTAATGAAAGATTTCAGAAGAAATACGTAAGTTGGAAAGAAAGTAGACCCTTTGTTGATTTTTGCTTTTCCAGAATCCTCAGTATAAGATTGAGTACTCAACAGAATACTGAACATAAGCTTATTCTAATAAATAATTTTACTTCTTTACTTAATAAATATTTTATCTTTTAAGATGTTTAAATGATATAAAGAAGGTAAACAGCTAATTTTAGCGGCTGATTTGGATATGAGAAAGAAACTCTTACCATACTTAATTACTTTCTGGAAGCGAGCATCAATGGAAGGGATCACAGCTAAAGCAGTAAGAGACTGAAATAAGCAACCTTGCTAGCCATCAGTTGCCCACCCACCTGGGTTGTGTAGTCATTTTAAGCAAGTTTTAATAGAGAAGAAGGAATATTTCATTTATTTACAATGCAAGATCATAGCATTGGGAGAGGACAGTTTATAGGCCTATAACAAATTTTTAAAAATTTTAAGTTTATTTTAAACTTACTAGTAAGGCTGAATTAAACATTTGACCCATATGTTATTTAAGAGAATTGTTGAGATAACAGTCTTATAAAAAAATAACTATTCAGTATATATTATTTATGAAATTATCTTGTGTTTACTCAGTGGTATCCATTCATAAGTGACTAGTGTGAATATTGAATGAAATATGAAATTGAGCTAATGTTATGCCGATTATGCCATTTTCAATAAATAATCTTTATCGGTTGTGATTAAAATAATTGTTTGGAAAAGCTTCAGCCAATGTAAAATTAACCTCAAAATCTAATATAGATATTTCATAGTATTTCTCTTTCAGGTATACCAACTGCAGCCTTATCAAGTATATGGAAAAACATAAAGTTAAACCAGATAGTAAAGCATTCCACTTGGTAAGCTTTAGAGAACAATAATAAAATTTTTTTCACAGATTAGCTAACCAGAGGCTTTTTGAGGTCAGTTTATACGGTAATTTAGCACTTTTAGAGTACTTTAATGGTAAATGCAGGCATCTTGTTGCTGCATTTTAGTAAAGGCATGAAAATACTTGTTTTTCCAAACCCTTAACATGGTTTAACAGACTAATGTTTGGTTACATTAGATTTTTTAAAGAGAGTTATTGTGGGGCGTCTGGGTGGCTGTCGGTTGGGCAGCTGCCTTCGGCTCAGGTCATGATCCAGGGTCCTGGGATTGAGCCCCGCATCAGGCTCTTTGCTCAGTGGTGGGAAGCCTGCTTCTCCCTCTCCCTCTGCCTGCCGCTCCCCCTGCTTGTGCTCTCTCTCTCATATCTCTCTCTCTGTGTCAAATAAATAAATAAAATCTTTAAAAAAAAAAAAAGTTTTGATGACAGTTACTGTACCAAGCCTGTGAAGAACATTTTTAAAATTACGTTTATTGGTTTTCATCGAATATTTTAAAATTTCAAAAATTTCAGAGAAGAATCTAAAAGAAAACCATCCCACTACTCACAAGTAACTTTTATAGATTATTTTGTATTTCAGCTCTTTGAAAGATTATTTATAAAATTTTTAACTCCCAAGATACTCTTACAAACTTGGGTATTAGAAGTCCTTCAGTGGGGACGCCTGGGTGGCTCAGTCGTTAAGCGTCTGCCTTCGGCTCAGGTCATGATCCCGGGGTCCTGGGATCGAGTCCCCCCACATCGGGCTCCTTGCTCAGTGAGGAGCCTGCTTCTCCCTCTCCCTCTGCTGCTCCCCCTGCTTGTGCTCTCTCTCTCTCTGACAAATAAATAAAAATCTTTAAAAAAAAAAAAAAAGTCCTTCAGTGATGGTGCGCATTATTTGCTTTTTCTGGAAGAATATGAGAGATGCAGTATTTATTACTGTATAATGGAAAAATAGTTTGACTTAGAATCTAAATGAATCCATGCGCTATTGTAATTTATGACATTATATTCAACTTGCCAGCTTAAATTTGTTTACAATAAAATTTCCATTTTTACATGATAACAATTAAAAATGATTTTCAGTTTTATGGGTTTTTTTAAAGTTATATAACATACAAAGGGGAAATTTCAGGGAACAGGTTGTATTGTATTTGGCTTAAAATTCTTTTAATCCTTTATTCTCAATATTTTTAAATGAGTTCATTAAATGGGAATTTTTTTGTCTTGAAAGTGTTGTATTTTCCTTTATCACAGTAGCAGGCCACTTGCAAACATTTCTTCTGTTTCTGCTTTTTCTTCTCTGTCTACTGCTTCTGCTTCTACACCTTCTGTTTATTTTTATATCATGTCATATGTCCTATATTTCATATCAGCAACTTAAAAAGCAGGGCCTAACCTATCTTATTACCACACAATATATTATTATCCAAATAATGGTTTCTTATAATGTACTTACAACAGAACCCAAATAGGAGGGTAAGTTAGATCCTTCAAAATTATGAACTTATTTATTCTAACAAAATAATGATAATAGTGGTAGACCAAAAGTCACAATTCAGGGGACTTGCTCTTACTTACCCCCAACTTGCTGCTATTCAGTGTAGTCTAAAGTGACTCTCACAACCATCATCACTGAAATTCCAGAGATATACTTCCCTCACAGCTTAGTTGCTTATTTTTACTGCGGTGACCTATCTTGGGTGGGCCCATCTGAAAGCTCTAATGTAACTCCTATAAAACCGTTGAGCATTTTAAATGGCAAATCCATGCTTTTCCTTTCAACTCTAAAAATAAAGTTGTGCTTCCACTGAAATATCAGATCATCAAAATTAAATTTAAATCTCACCATTCCAGCGTTTCCTCTGTATTTTTCAGTATTTTATGTCCTTCTGTCCTTTGATTGTGTCATGTCCCATCAAGTCTCAACGCATCTGTTGGTGTTCAAGTAAGGTGTCCCAGTCCACAGCACTAGTGACCTGAGAACTTGGTAGAAAGGCCACTTCTCAGACTCCTGCGCAGATATCCCAGAGCTCTGGGAGTGGGGCCTAGCAGTCTGCTTTCAGAAGTGCTCCAGGGGAAATAGTGATGTACTCTGAAGTCTGAAAACCACCGCATTAGATCAAAGAGGATAAGCTGAGAGACCACTATCTGTTCTTAAATCACCTACTAAAATCAAATGTTCTAAAATAAATAAATAAAATAAATAAAAATAAATCAAATCAAATATTCTAGTTCCTAAAGTCTTAAGTAAACTATGTTTTAACCAAAAAATACTGAATTTTCACATTAGTGTGACATTTCTGTAGGTAGCAAAATAATAATAATAATAATGGCAGCTAACACATAGTGCTTTATTTGTGTTAGGTGCTATTTTTAATCTCCATTTGACAAATGAGGTTACAAAGAGATTAAGCAACTTGTCCAAAGTCACTCAGCTAATAAATGTCAAGACTTGAACCCAGGTGGTATCCTTCGAATCTCCATTCATAACCCCTCTGTACTTTACCAGTTCTGTATCAAGCACCGTATTTATTTAGACTAGGAGAGCACTGGCCAGGAGAGCTTTCTCTGATGATCTGTGCTGTCCAGTAGGGAGCTTCTAGCCACATGTGGCTCTTGAGCTCTAGAAATGCACCTGATATGACTGAGAAATTGATTTTTTTAAGTTTAATTTGGTTTTAAATCTAAATAGCCACATGTGGCTAGTGTATTATTTGTGTTATAATAATTTTCCCCTTAATAAAAAAGGAATAGAAAATACAAGATTTTAGTCCCGTTCTAAATTGGACAAAGCAATCTGCATAATATAGATCATTGGTTTAGAGTTAAGAAGTAAGTTTAGTTACCTCTTAATAGAAGAACCAAGTAAGATCATGATTATTAGAATGATTAAATGTGAATTACTACATTAAATGTAATAAGTTTTTCTGTTGTTAATTTGGGGGAATAAATATCCTTCAAATTGTGGTGTTTTCATCAAAAAACATATACGTCCCACGTATGGCCAAGGATATAACTATGAGAAGTAACACAGTAATGTTTTTATGATTTATGATTTCAGCTTCAGAAGTTGCTTACGATGGACCCAATAAAGCGAATTACCTCAGAACAGGCTATGCAGGATCCCTATTTCTTAGAAGATCCACTTCCTACATCAGAGTAAGTGATCAATTTATTAACTCACCAGCATGGTAGGATTTTTTGGAGCGTGCTTGTTTGAGTTGTCAACTCCAAGTTGCCACTCCTCTTACATGGGGACCGGGGGAAATCCCAGTGACAAACAAAAAAATTAGCTCTGATGCCTGAGCTGTCATTTCGGGCTTTTACAGGTAAGAACCACTCCTGTTCACGTCTTGCTTTATGAAACCTTGCCATCTTTAGTTTCAGTGGGGCTCCAGTTACTCAGTGGCAGGTTGATTATGCATGCTGTAGCTCACTCAGACTCACTGAGATTGCCCACTGCTTGCAGTTACAGTTTTATGTTCCAATTGCAAATCCCATTCCCAAATAAATTTGTGTTCCCCTTGTCATCTTTTATTTTATGTGTAGAAGGGAGAGTAAAAAAAAAAAAAATTGTGTTCGAATAGTGACATTTCCTCTGGAATCTGTATTTGGGTTGTGATAATAAAAGAGTGAGGCTGGGATAAAAGAAAGTTGAGTCATATTCAATGATTATTGATTATTTTTATACAAGGAAAAGTCCTCCCATGGCCTGCTATAATGTCACTGATTAGAAGAAGATTCATCTTGTCACAGTTGCATGAAAGGTGCTTATTTTACAAATATGGAAACAAAGTCCCTCTTAGAAGAATAAAATAAAGCATCTGAAATATTGATTGGCATACCAGAAATCGTTTTTCTTTTTTCTTGTGAGCAGCGTTTTTGCCGGTTGTCAAATCCCTTACCCAAAACGAGAATTTTTAACAGAAGAAGAACCTGATGACAAAGGAGACAAAGTAAGTATTAAAGTACATTTGGCTGCTTCTTGTTTTATTCAATGCTACCGTAACATTTTCTTGTTTGTATTTGGTTCTCCTTCTGAGTTGAACTTTATTTTTCTGTTTAACCAATTGAGAAGAACCAGCAGCAGCAGCAGGGCAATAACCATACTAATGGAACTGGTCACCCAGGGAATCAAGACAGCAGTCATACACAGGGACCCCCGTTGAAAAAAGTGAGAGTTGTTCCTCCTACCACTACCTCAGGTGGACTAATCATGACCTCAGACTATCAGGTATTTCCAATTTATTTTGTACTGACTTGCCATATCAGTATTTGTATATGGGTTTGTGACCTTTGGAAAATGCAGTATAACTAAGAAAATGCTGACCTTTATGTACCTGGGGAAATACACTGACGTGAGTGTTATTGACATGGAAAAGTACTGACTATGGTACAGTACAGGGTACCTACTGACTTTTGAAATAGACAGACCTGGAATGATCCAGCTTAAATCATGCCATTTATTAACTATGTGACCTTGGACAAATAATATAACATTTCCTGGCTTTAGTTTTTCATCTGTAAAATGAGACTAGCCAAGCCTTACTTGTAGTTCTTATAGGAGTAGAAGTAATAAATCCTAGCCCCTGACTTGGGGTAGGAGCTCAATCAATGCTGTGTATTGTTTTCAAACAACAGCATACCAAGAATGATTAAGAACACAGGCTTTCAGGGGCGCCTGGGTGGCTCAGTTGGTTAAGCATCTGCTTTCAGCTCCGGTCATGATACCAGGGTCCTGGGAATCTAGCCCCAAGTTGAGCTCCCTCCTCAGCGGGGGCTCTGTTTCTCCCTCTGCCTCTGCCCACCCCACCCTCTGCCCTGGTTGTGCTCTCTCTTGCTTTCTCTCTCACGTAAATAAATAAAATCATAGAAAGAACACAGGCTTTCAGATCCCAACCCAGCCGCTGACTTTGGGTAACCTTGAGTAAGTAATCCAGATGTTCCCAGTTTTCTCACTTGTAGAAGTGGATGACGGCAAGGATCAAATGAAAGGACGTACGCTAAGGCACGGCAGCTGGCCTGCTGTCGCGTGTAAGAGATGTTACCACTTCTTTCCGCTTTTATTATCATTACCCTCATTAAAATTTCTAGTAGCATTCGTAGTACACAGTAAGCACTTCTTAAGTGTTGGTGGTGGCGCTAGTGATGACTCTAATCATAAGAGCTTGATCGTGCTTACCATGCCAGCTTTTATACTAAGCATGAAACCTGCATTGTTTCCTTTGATCATTATGGTAACTCTGTGAGGTGAGGGTTGTCACTGTCATTTCAGAGATGCTCAGAGAGGTTAAATAACTTCCACGTGTTCACCTGCCGACCTGGGGGTAGACCCAGGACACGGGCTTAGAGCTGACAGCCAGGGCTGCTCCGTTGCCTGCTTGTCAATCCCATCATGTGGCATCATCAGTTTCTTTGCAGAAAGACCGCTTGGGAAATCCTGTACCACCTCCCTGCTTGTTCTAATCATATTGCCAGCTCACCTGGGTCTCTGTGTGGGAAGGACACGGAAAACTTGACCAATTAGAGTTATTTACCTACTGAAAGAGAAAAGGAGATCTTACTAAACTATTAAGGTTCCCAGAGCCTGCTGTGACCTTTCAGAAATGAGATCTTAACTCTTTGCTTTAGTTAAGCAGAGGTCCCATCTACCAAACCATGGAAATTTTTGTCTGCCTGGATAGTAACTCTCTTCCAGGAAACTAAACAAGGAAATCAAGGACAGACATCTCTGGGGGTTGATGTTTGTTCCGGCATCTTTTTCTCCCCATCCGGATGGGGAGAGTGCATCCCTCTTGGCTCTAGAATGTGTTTGCACACTAAGGTAATAGCATCCTTAGAATGAAGCAGAGCAGTGCTGGGACCTTCGCTATTGAAACCAAGAAAATTGCTGTGCTTCTTTGTTTCTTGATGTTATCATTGTGGTTGGTTTTTGTAGTGACTGTAATTTCATGTGTCCACTCTTTTTAAAATCTTTAAAATCTTTTTAAAATTTAAAAATATTTTGCTAAGGTTGGCAGAATTTAGAATTATATGATTTATTGAATATGCCTTGAAAGAGGAAAGTAGTAAATTATGGTTAATCAGTTATCATGTTTGTCTTGGGAGCTAATAATAAGAGAGAGAGGTGCAGGAATGGGAATAACAATGTAACAGATCAAAATCACAGGACTGTAAACTCGATCACTGTTTTTTCCCTTTGTGGTCTTTTTAAAATTGAGAATACCATTCTTCTGACATTTCTATAATTATAAACTTTTGTATATAACCTGTTGCAGAAAATGATTCATTAAAGGGCATAAAAATATTTAATAACAAAGAAAAGGATTCTATGCCACCTTTTCTTGTCCTATTCATTTTTATTCTTTAGTCATACATGTGCTGGGAGGCTTCTGTTGAAGAAACTAGCATGTCAATTAGCTTTGAATTTCTTAGTATATATATAAGTTCACGTATAAACATCTCAAGCAAATTAATTATTACTTATCAGATAGTTACAAAACAGCTTAAAAGGGGGATTACTGCTATAGAAAAACAGTGAACTGCACTACATAGAAATAAGACCCAGCTTAATGTTATTTACTGGCAATACTTCTGACCTTAGCTGATATTAAAAGATTGGGGGTTTTTGTCATTTTCATTCTAAAGCCTAGTACATGGCACAAGACTTTTTAATTGTTACTGCCATGAAATAAATGCCATTGCAAACCTCAGCCTCACTGGCTTGGGGTAGAGCCAACTCTTAGAAACACCTGACTCTCATTTCTTGCTCGTTCTTCTTTTGCAGCGTTCCAATCCACATGCTGCCTATCCCAACCCTGGACCAAGCACATCACAGCCACAGAGCAGCATGGGATACTCAACTACCTCCCAGCAGCCTCCACAGTACTCGCATCAGACACACCGGTACTGAGCTGCGCTGGAATGTTGTCAATGCACTGTTGCTAGCGCTGCAGGACTGACGGTGCAGCTCTCTGCGGGAACCTGGTATGGGCCATGGGAATGTACTGTACACCCACATCCTCAGACTGTCCAGTAGCCAAGTTCCACCACTTTTCACAGACCGGGGTAGTGGCTTCCAAGTTGTACCTGTTTTGGAGTTAGACTTGAAAGAAAGTGCTAGCACAGTTTGTGTTGTGGATTTGCTACTTCCATAGTTTACTTGACATGGTTCAGACTGACCAATGCATTTTTTTCAGTGACAGTCTGTAGCAGTTGAAGCTGTGAAATGTGCTAGGGGCAAGCATTTGTCGTTGTATGTGGTGAATTCTTTCAGTGTAACAACATTATCTGACCAATAGTACACACACACACACACAAAAGTTTAACTGGTACTTGAAACATACAGTATATGTTAACTCAACAAAATAACCAAGACTCAAAGTGAGATTATTTTGGTACACCTTTCATTTTAGTGTCTTATCAGTGGGTTGATTCATTTTCTACATTAATCAGTGTTTTTTGACCAAGACTATTGCTTGGGTTTTTTTGAAAGTACAAAAGCCACATAGTTTTTCCAGAAAGGTTTCAAAACTCCCAAAGATTAATTTCCAACTTATAAGTTTGTTTTGTTTTCAATCTATGACTTGACTGGTATTAAAGCTGCTATTTGATAGTAATTAAATATGTTGTCATTGATATAAACCTGTTTGGTTCAGCAAACAAACTGAAATGATTGTCATAGACAGTGTTTTATTTTTCCTGTTGGTGTTGCTGATTAGTGAGCATGCTTTAAGATGAAAAAAGCATGAATGATAACTTCCTCTGAAAGGTGCGGCATCCGATTCAGATATTTTGTCCTGATTTTAAAGCTGGTTGGTGTAGTGCTATTAAAATTTTGTTCAGTTAATTTTACTTTTTAAAACTTGTTCGCACGTTGTTTAGGGTGCCCTTACTTCAGCAAAGGAGAAGGAGTAGGAGAGCCTTAGAATTTTTGAGGAAAAAAAAAAACCTATAACATACAATGTACTGTATCAAACTATTTTACATGAATGACACAAGTATTCTGAATTTAAAAAAAAATTGAACATTGTTAAAAACAAGGTGTTATGTAATAAATTTATTTTTCATAAATCAAAATATGAAGTCGGCTCTATTTTTATATACACAGAAGTGTTTTATTTTAAAGCATGCCTTAACAAGTGGCCTCTAAATAAATCTCTTCAGTTGTTTTCCTTAATAGTGTCTATATATTCAGCCTCCAGAGTAGAGTGAGTATAATGACTTATGATTTAGATATGGATTCTTTGCTCTGTTGCACTTAGCACTATAATAGAAGATGTCGACTAGACACCTTTCTAATTGAAAGAATTATGATGAGCCTTCCATTTCTAGAATAAGGCCTAATTCTGTGTTCGGCTGGGAACAATTTGTTTTAGCCCAAATAATTATTTTTCCTCCCTCCTTCAGCACAAAACACAGAAGATTAAAAAAGCTAACATAGTTTTTTTCTTAAAAAGTCAGCTCATTCCTATAAAAACATTCTAAAACATTTGAAGAACTGAGGAATTCCAATCCTGATAGGCCTGACTATAGCAGTAAGTATATTTCAGGAGCCGAATCTGCATTTCCATGTTCTGTCTCCCCACCACAGCTCCTCCACACAGTGTGAAGATCTGATCCTAGAGCTCCGTCCTCAGCACCTTCAGGAGCTCCCCTCTGGCCACAGACTGAGTCAGTCTTACCTAACCATGTCTTCTTGTTTCCCTTCACTCAAATTGTCTTCTATTTTTCCTCCCTGCCTTTGATGCAGTGGCTTCCAACCTTCGTGGGCATGAAAATCATCTGCAGTTTGTTTTCTCTGGGTCTAGTCCCAGAGGTTGGTTCAGGGGAATGGGGAGGGACATGGAATCTTCATTTTTAACAAGCTCCTTAGTTGGTTCTGATGTGGGAGTCTGAGGAAAACACAGGAAGAACACCTCCAAGCTGGTCTAAAGATTGAGCAAACAGTAGCAGTTCAGTCAGTGGCTTGGAGAGAGGGTGCCCTGTTGACAACCCACCTTCTGCATAAATTTCAGAAAGCAAAACCCATTATAGCAAGTTCCACTGTAAATGTTGGAAACTCCTAGGGCTCAGTTCTCAGGTTTTTAAATTTCTTTATCAACCTCCGTTCTCGGAGTGATCCTGTCCAGTCTTGAGGAGTTCAACATGTTGGTGACTATTAAATTTATATATCCAGATTATTTCATATACAGTTCCAGATTCATATATTTAATTGCATCTGTGACACATAGACAAATAACATACCCAGACACATACCAACCATCATCCTCTAGTGCGTTCCTTGCCTTATTTCTCTACATTGCACCCATCACATATTTTTGACCACTTTCTGTCTCTTCCTGTAGAATGGAAGCTCCGTGGAAGGAGCCCTATTCCATCTCAGCCTCTCCTCTTTCTACTTGCCCCCAGGTAATCTCACCCAGGCTCAGGACTTGGGTAGGATGATGGTTCCCAGATTTCCTATCCAGACCTCCCTGCTGTATCTGACTCATTACTGCAGATGGTCTCTAGACTGAAGACATCCAAAGCAGACTATCCAGACCTCCCTGCTGTAT